AGGATTTCAAATTCATGTCACAAAATGGCCTTACTGCAGTGAGGATTCCAGTTGGGTGGTGGATAGCCAAGGATCCCACACCACCAAAGCCTTTTGTTGGGGGCTCCTTGAAAGCCTTAGACAATGCTTTCACATGGGCACAGTATTTAGCCTTTCCTCATCCGTCTAAGTTATGATAAAAAGTAAAGAAATCTGAAATAATCTCATTTTCCTTCATATAAATGTAGGAAATATGGAATGAATGTCATTGTAGACTTGCATGCAATTCAAGGTTCACAAAATGGCAATGAGCATAGTGGGACAAGAGATGGATATCAGGAATGGGGAGAAGCAAACATTCCCGACACTGTGTCTGTGATAGACTTCCTAGCAGCAAGGTTCTAGATAGACAAGTTTTTTTTTTTATTCATTATTAGAAAGCATATCATTCTGTTCCTGGTATCTAATTCAAACCTTGATACTTATGACAGATACGCTAACCATCCAAGTCTTGCTGCAATTGAGTTGATGAACGAACCTACTGCGCCAGGAGTTACATTAGAGAACCTGAAAAGTTACTACCAAAAAGGTTATGATGCCGTGAGGAGGCACACCTCAAGTGCTTATGTGATCCTTTCTAATCGCCTGGGACCTGCTGATCAGAAGGAGCTCCTTTCATTTGCTAGTGGCCTGAATAAAGTAGTCCTCGATGTGCATTACTACAGCCTCTTTTCAGACAGTTTTAAGAATAAGAATGTTCAACAGAACATTGATTATATCAATAACCAACGAGCTTCTGATCTCGCAGCTGTGACCACTACCAATGGCCCTCTCAGTTTTGTCGGTGAGGCTAGAACTAGAAGTGTTCATATTTGCAAGTATCACTTCAACTTATCCAAGCTTTTTGTAAAATAATTTGTATACTCCGACAATTTTGCAGGGGAATGGACCGCAGCATGGGAAGTAAAGGGGGCATCAATGGAAGATTACCAGAAGTTTGCTAAAGCTCAATTGGATGTTTATGGGAAAGCCACATTTGGGTGGGCATATTGGGCTTATAAATTAGAGTGTGATCAGCCGCACTGCCCCTGGAGCCTCAAATGGATGATTGAGAACAATTACACAAGTGTAATGATGCAGCGGAAGAAAACGCGAGATGAAAATGAAGGAAGACAAATTAATAATTGCATCATATACATAAATATTACATAATTTGTCGTCTTTCATTTTTCGTTCACTGCATCATTACTCATTACATAATGCTCTAGAAACTGAAATTGTATTAAGTAATTCTAGGAAGTTGCATCACTTCCACCGTACATGGTAAGTCTAGTCCTGCTAAATGTACGAGCATATTATAAAGTGCATTTTCTATTAAAATAAGGTGAAAAGAGCTTACCAGCCCTTCAACTTGTGCACTGTGGATGATTGTCTCTTGAACTGGGTTTTATTTTTTTTGGATAATTGCCCACGAAGCACAGAAGGAAATAAGTAGCAAGCTTTGGCATTTCCCACGAAGCTCTTACTACCCCCTCCGCTTAGAATATAAATCAGATGAGTTTTTTGCTTATATTTTTATATCATATTTTTTATAATATATAAATGATAATTAAATTTTTTTAATCAGATATAATCTCTTAATAAAAATTATGTAGACAAAAAAAATGTCAATTATTATTTATATATTATTTAAAATTATATGTTAAAAAATCAAACAACTTATATATTTTTTTGAATATATTGAAATTAATTACATATTTATTAAAGAAAAGAGAAATAAAATTTTATAAAATTTGAACACACAATCCAAAAGGTGAACAACACTAAATCAACGTCCATGTCCATGTACCGAAGGAGACCGTTCCAAACAAAATAAATAAATAAAATTAATTATAATAATGTAATTAC